AGTTAAAAAATATTAAAAATACATAATCACAATTTTTTAATAAAAATTTTAATTTAAGATTTGAAAATTCAATGAAAAGTTCTTCATGAGTTTGTCTACTTACATCAAATAAAAAATGTCTACTAGAAAGTTGAAAATTAAAATTAAATTTTTATGATCATTTGAATTACAACATTAGATATTCACTTAAATTCTGTTGTACCGATATTCTTATTTTGCTATTATTCAAAAATTAATAACTGTAGAATCTTGAAATTTACACCAAATGTTTATTTTATCAATTTCGATACTTGATAACATTTTCTAAATATTTCAACAATTTTTGAAATTTTCCTTTTTTTAGTTTTTATTCTATAAATTTCAATAAAATCTCATTTATTGGATCAAAAATCTTGAAGATTTATTACAAAGTTTCCATAAGTTTATATAATTGTAGCTGAAAATTTTAAAAATACATGGGCACGTTTTTTTTTTTTTTTATAACCATTTAGAGATCAAATGTTGGCAAAATGTATTAATTGAAAACTTACAAATTCTTTGGTTGTTAAAAATGTATAAAAGGTTGAACTTTTATAGCTAAGGATTGAAAATTAAAAAAAAATTAAATTTCATGTAAGAAGTTAATTCTGTGTTATTTTCAACAATAAATGAATTAATAATAAATTATAAATTATGTTTAATAAAGATCTATCGATAAATTTTTTATTCACAACCTATATTAAATGAAAACCTGTCTAAAATGGAAAAAATATCCGATCCCAACTATTTCCTTATTACACAGGTTTTACTGTATATATATTATTACTAGCCGATCTCGCGCATTCTATCAGCCATTAAAAATGCCAATTCTAAATGATTCAAACTTTGTTCAATTCGTTTTCTAATATTCGTTGTAAAGGTGTTCAAAATTTAAAAATGATCTTCCACCCCCTCCTTTCCCAAACCCAAGTAAATATGATCATGATGTATAATTTATAACTTGAGAGTTACAAAGTTATATCAAGTTTGTACATTTTACTTAATTCAACACCCATGGAAGATTGAGTACAATAATGTGACATTGCTTGTTCCAGTGGTTTTTGATATAGCTGTAAAACCGGAATTCGCCCGAGAAAAAATGATCAATAATACAAAATATACGGCCTTATATTGGAGCATCTTGGTTTTGGTGTACCTCATTTCAGATTTCATAACTCTTAGTTTAGATTTATTTTCGAACGTTGTGAAAACTACTTTCTAAACTTTCATTATAAGTCTACGAAACAATCTTTGAAATGTTTGACAAATTTTAGTGGCTTTTGAGTCTATGGGCAACAAATATATAGAAGAATCATTTTATAAATAAATTCTCATATTTATTGTTTTTAAATACAAATTGTTTATTCGGCCACATGATAATATGTGTAATGTGTATCAATTTTATGCATGTATTTATCTCAACTTTCCGAGTAACCGATGACAACCATTTAAATTAAAAGTAAAAGTAATTTCTATTTTTACAATTTACAATTATAATCGGTTACCAATGTAAACTATTTCAAAACAAAATCAACAATTTCCAATTTCCATCGATAATTTTGAAATCCTTGTTTGTCTTAGTTTTTATAATATTATGGTCCATTATTTATACGGTAGCTATGTTATTTATTTTTTGTTCAAAGAAATAATTTCAACATTTATTAGTTGTTCCAGTTTTTTAAACTACAAACTATATCTAAAATCGAATAATCAATAATTTCTATTCTATACGAAATCTTTACTAAATGTATATTATAGCAGTAGTTCCCAAACTTTTCCTACCACAGCACCTTTATGAAAAAGTTTGTGGTTGGTGGAACTTCAATGTATCCAACTCAATCCTAATTTTTCAAGTGCTTATTGAAAAAAAAAACATATATGTTTTTTAAGATACTGCTCGTAATAATTATTGTCTATGAGTTTATGACATTAAGTTTAAAAAAAATAACAATTTTCATTCATTGTTTTTACATTCATGTAAATTTATTAAAATAAAAAAATATTTATTATTTAATTACCTATTACTTTTTTTTCGAAGTTTAATATAAAATAATTTTCTCAACAAGCATACACATCTGGTGGAACCAATGTAAAACTATCGGCGTGCGAATGCTATAATTATCGCGTCCGCAAATTTTCGTCACTTATACAAGTATCTGATACTTAATATAGTATAATATACTACAATAATAATTTTTGGACTTATAAAATCTGATAAGAAATGGTAACCACCACAATATGTCACGAACGAATAACGATTAGACATATAAAATAAAACCAGTAATGCAAAACTAGCCGTTTTTTTTATTACTGTTGTACACAGCGAAAGCGAATATATTATTAATCGACACGTCATGTTTATCGTGTACTAAAATCGAATCATATTATAATATCGTACAGTTAGCTATAAAATATTCGAAAACGCTGCGAAATAATGAAACATCCTGTCGCGCCAAACGGCTCGTGCCCAAAAGTCCTTCTAGAAATGAGTCATGTAGGTAAACCTTATACGAATATTATATATTAATTTAGTGCACGGATTTATATGCATTAAAAATCAATCGAATATGCGCTAAAAAATCTTAAATATGCATAAATATATGCACTAAAATGTTAAAATATKCATGGAAAATAAAAAATATGCATAAAAAAAATCATTTTTGGAACATTAAATTAATACAATATATTATAAAAACAAATTATGGAACAATACTAAAAACACTTTTCTTTATTTTTTCCACTTTCACTATTTTCAGGTAGCTTTAATCTATAATATATAAAAAAGGAATCAATTTATAACAAAAATGTCTCCTAAAATAAATGTACTTACCTATATTTTGATATTTTGATATTAATCAAAACAATCGAAACTATAAAAATATAATTTTTTTTTCTTATATTATAATTGAAAATAGTATAAATTTAAAAAATTTTCAAAAAAAACATCGAAATATACACTAAAAGATGAAACATGCAAAAATATGCACTAACAAAGTTTCATTTTTTAAATCGTTATGTCATGAAACAAATGTTGTGCTCACTTAGCATATCATACGATCGACCAGAATAAATATTATGCAAATACATACAAATCCTCGCTCTATATATTATTATGTGTTCTTGCTTACCTACGTACATTATATTTAATTGATTAAAATGTACTTCGGTTATTTATATGCATATACTTTAAATAGGATTTCAGAACTAATTGGATGACGACAATACTACAATAGTCTGGTCTGCAATAACCTATAAAAGGTACTTCCTGAGGTAGGCACCTTTATTTCAATAAAATATGACGTTAACCTATCGGTTGGCTGACAACCCAATTCGCCGACACTACTTTACCGATACCCGATTTGCCGACAATAAATAATATAAAATAATATTATAGTCAATAATAACAAATATAATATGATATAGTATAAAAAATATAATATAATAAAAAATTGAGGATTTATACGAGTTTATGAGTTGATAATGAGTTATGATGAGTTTCTGTCTTCTAAACGGAAATTGAATATAATAATTGCGTCCAGATATTCCATAATACAAATTGTATTACTTTGTAACCTACAGTTTTAATGTTAAACGTTAGAAAAAAATGTTCAAATTCAAATTAATAAATGCTATACCTTTCTTTTGCAAATAATAACTTTTCCTCTCATTTCCTATATATAGTTTTGTGATGGACGATTGTATTTTTTTTTTATGCTATGAGGCCAAACTCAAAGTTTGTTTGATGGTTGTAGATTGCATATTTTCAAATAAAATAATTTTTGTTATTTAGTGAACCTATGATTTGTCGGCGAGTTGGAATTTTTTCCATCTTTACCGGAGACAGGTTTTTGCGTCAGAGGATCTGAATCGCCAAAATAAGCAGTGGAAACATTCGTGGCACACGTCTATTACTCTATTATAATATATTGGATATTGATATACTATAAATMAAACATATGCATTATACGTTTATTTGTCGGGTAAATTTTTTGCTATGCTGAAATAAAAGTCTTATAAAACTCGAGTTTGTGAAAATAGTTATCTTACCAATTAAATAGGTAAACGAAATTATACAATATTGTGAACATGAACTTCACCAGTTCGAGTTTGATTGTAACGTGACCTATAATAGGTACGGTTATTGCGGTTGTCCAACGATATCGACTGCGAATGACATTTTGTCATGGTAGATGGGTAGCACCTTTTTTATGTATTCTAGTATCTTCTTGTGTGGACATTTAACGATATGGGTACCTATTACGTAGTACTCACGATCGTCTGTTTCCATGCCATATACAATTAGTTTTAAGACTTGTGTAGAAACAAACAATTATTAGGTTATGGGTTCACCGTTTTTAGTGAATTCATAATGTCTCCTAGTTTTTATTTACCCAGTTTTGGAACTGTGGTTATAGCATCTGCCCATAATATGCACGTATTACCATATAGCGTGTTAAATCCAACGAGGCCCAAGTACACTATCGAAAAACATAAGCACAATAGACGACTTTTTCGGTTCGTACCATTTGCATAAACGAGTTGTTTTGCTCAGTGACGACGATGTCGATGGTAACTACAACTAAAAGTGGAGAAACGAACAAAAAAAAAAATGGTGTTTATAACGCGAAATGACTATCGAAACGACGGTGATTATAAAATAACAACGATAATATTATACTGATTAGTGCACAACGCCGCACTACGTAAAATATGACAAACGCGGCGGCGTTGGTGGCGTGTGCCGCGTGCCGTCGAAGAAGAAGAAGAAGAAGAAGTCGCCGCCACCGCCGTCTTTGGTGCGTACGAGAAACCCACGGGCCTGCCGGGGGACCACCGGCAGCGCTGAGAATTGAACCTTGTCTGCATAGGTGTCGGACACGTGGTGCGCGCCGGTTACGCATGCGCGGCACACCGGCCACAATACGGCGGCGGCGACGGCAGCGACCGGCCGGCACACTGGTGTGCTGCGGTGCGCGCGTGTGTTCTATACAGTGTCCGCCGACCGTCGGACGTCTTACACGCGTTCGCATACGATATCTGCCGGGTGTGTTCCCCCCGACGACGCTGGCGACGTACACAATTAATAGCAATATTTTATAATATTATTGCTCCGTTTTTTTTTCTTCGGACGGACGACCGCGAATAGTTTTTGTTTCACCGATCGTTTATTTTTGAAAACATTTAAAAAATATATCAATTTAAAAACACTTCACTTTACCGGCGAAAGTTGGTATATTAGTAGTGTTACCGCCAATACTACTATTACTACAACTACATTACTACAACGACTACTACTACTAGCACTACTACACTGCAACAGCATCCGCCACTACTACTATAGTACTACTTCTAAAATAATTTTAATACTGATATCAAATTAACCGCGGAAAAAGTGTACCGAGATAGTTTGTTGAACGCGACGAGCTTGTAATAATATTACAGTCGTACGGGCATATTATATTGTGCTGTTGTATTAGACGACCACGACACCGGCGACTGGGAGAAAAAAGTCGTCGCCGGTGGCGGCGGCGGCGTCGGTGGCGATGTCGCGATCACTGTCCGAGACAGACGACCCGTTTACCACCCAGCGCATTAGCTGGACGGCCTGGACGATTAGTTGGTACACCGTATGGTAGAATACACCGACAAAAAAACAACAACAATAATAATAAAAATATTCAGTGAAAAAATAGCGTCGCACACACACGCACAGACGTCAAGCGTGCACCAACAGACGACTACGACGACGACGACGACGACGACTACGACGAAAATACATTACGGTAAAGACAACCGCAACTTGTAACCAGCGACTGAAACTGAATCCGCGACTGCGGCGACAATCGTCTGCAGCCTTGGCCGTATAGTTATATGATGCCGGTGAAATTACCGCCGTGGACGTTATCGGCCGCCCGATGAGTTGTTATTGGCCGCCAGTCGCGTGTGTAACGACGTCGCCGCCGACCTGAGCGTTTGTGGGAAGTATGTGGAAGACACGTAACCGATACAATTGGTCGTGGTCTATACGTATTGTCGTTGTTGTAGCCGCCGCAGCCGTAACGCTCGCGATGTCCGCCGCCGAACCACGCGAATCCGCCGTCTCCTCGTCATCTTCCCTCCGTTCTGCTTCCTCTTTGTCGTCACCACCGTCGTCGTCGTCATCTTCCTCCTCTTCCTCCTCCTCCTCTTCTTCGTCATCAGCCGCCGCTACCAGTGCGGTAACCATCGTCACGTCACAACTGGAAAGAGCGCCGTTCGGCCGCGACGGCACCGAACAACAGACCAACACACCAGGTAAGTCTATCACCTATCCTGTTGGCGTATATAATAATAATATGTCTTATTATCACGACACAGTTGAGCCGCGATAACCCGAAAAACTCGACAACTTGTTTTTTTTTTTTAATTGCTCGCGGGTTGGCTTGGGTTAAATTCGAGTTGGGTACATTATACGATATGTCGAATAGTTTTTTTGTCTCCCGTAAACTTTGAGCTATTCCAACTCGAAAATTGTATTTCGGGTTTTTGTACAGTCATGTCGAGTAGAAAAAAATTCGTTCTTCGCTCGCAAATTCTCTGTGACGCGGATGCTCTGCTGGCACGTCCTGGTACGTCTTTCCCCTGCCAAGTAGTAAAAAACTTTTTCCACACGATAGGTGATCAGTCATAAGATATTAGTATATACTTACCTACATATATTATATGACTGATAACGAGGCTTATCCTTCGATAGTGTTCAATGATTGCGATTTATGATCATATATTCATTCAAATGCAACACCTGTTGACTGCACTCGTTTGCCATGTCTTCTTTCTTACAGGAAAAAATTTAAATACGTATAACACACACACAACTATGACAAGTGATTAGTTCATGCCTAGAATTTCATAAAATGTTCTAATTATTATAGGATAAAATTAAAAAATAGCCTAGTGAATTATAAATTTGTTATCTGCATCATGGACTTTAAATATGAAATTTTATATTGCTATTTTTTGCAAATTTAAAATATTTTATTTGTTTTTAGTACTATTTTTTGTACTTTGTCTTGCTATTTTGCATAAGATAACGTTTTATTTAATATTTTTGTGAATCTAGGTTATACCATGTGTTGTGATTAATAAAAAAAGTTTGTTATTTATTTTATCGGTTGAACGGCTCGTATTTATATATTTTGTGTAATATATTCCGTTGTACATTCGTACGAATTTTTAAAAAAATAATTGTGAACAGACTACATTTTTAGTGTTGCTATTTTTCATGTTTTTAGGGCATTTTATAGAGCTAATTTTAGGATTTTTTAGATCATAATATTATTGCAGTTATTTTTAGTGCTATAAAATCCGAGCCCTGGTGATTACACATATACTTACACTCGTACCTACACACTCGTACCTACCATGCTATACGTAACTTTTTTTCTTAATATTTCAATTTCAATAGACCTGTTAAATAACCCGTATTTTCATTGAATCATCTATAAATTGTTGGTAGGTACATATATTCAACATAATAATTAATAATAATAAAACATCGTAAGTAGGTACCTACCTAGTATTCTAATGAATTTCCGTTAAAAACCGTGTACTTAGTTCGACATATTATTATTACATTGACAATCATTTACGTGATTATTTAAGTTTAGGATTACTTTTATTTTACCTTCCCTATTAAGTACTTTCYCTTTTAAGAGGCTTTAATTTGAATTTATTTTACATTTATAATAATGTAATATGAGCGTATATGATTTATGGTTAAAAACTCGTTTTATTTACGTTCTCTTTCTATTGGCTCCTCAGTTTGTTCATAAGCTGATGTGTACAAAATTTTAAATACTATACTTTTGGCTCATAAAGTAGTAATTACACAAAAATGTAATTTGGTAAGTCGTCGCAGTTAAATTTATACGTGGGTTGTATTATATTTATAATACTACGATATAATATTGGAATAATATCGTTTATGAACTGCAACTTTTCATATTATTAAACATCGAACGACTTATCGAATGAACGCACAAAATACAAGCTTACTCGAACGCAGTCTACATTAAATCATTTAAAAACCATTTAATACAATATTTAAAAAGATATCATTAAAATTTAATGATTAAATATTAGATAGGTATAGAATATAGATGGTAGATTTTATACCTTGATGTCCGCGGGAGTCAATTGGATGCCAGTTAAATATACATTATGGGAATGTATAATTTGTATAGAGAGTGGAAATTTGAGTTCTATTAGAAATTAGAGAATAATCATAGATTGAGTTGTAAATCATTGCCATATTTTAATAAAACAAAAATATGATTGCGCTATATAATACAATAAATAATATTTCTTGATTAAAAACAGGTTTGAATGTTGAATAAAATATAGATCTCCTTTATTACTCTTACTCGCGTCAAAATTTCAAAAGATTTTTGTAATTCGATTTTAACTATTTAGTTTCTATATTTCGTAATAGTTTTAAGTCCATCGGTATTTCGAGTGGGTCTGTTTCAGAAACAATTCAGTATGACGTGTATACGTGTATTACACATGGAATCGTTACCTTTTGTTACTATATTAAACAATCGTTTATTAATATCCTAATTACCGTTAACTCTTTACAGATTTTATCTAGTCAGTTTTTAGTGATTCGATATTTCAATGAAATTAGAGAAGGTAATCTTCCCCAAAGTTCTTCAGAGTTGGTAGACCAAAGGGTTGAGGTCTGCACTCCAGGTAAATGACCTCAGACCCGTGTTGTGCTGTTACGCTTTATGAGGCAATAGTGCCGAATTTTGCTTGAAAGGTCCAGTGTCTTACTGTAAACAATGTATCACTTATAGGTTTCACCATATTTTATAAAATATCACTTTAGTAATTTAATCGCACGTGTTTTCGCTCCCTGCTAACAGTAATACAGTCGAGTAACGTCCTCATATGACACTCCCCATTAAACCATCACTAAGGCCGGATGAAGTCCTCTTTCTACTCTTTAAATTTTTCAGCAGCTTATTGAGACTGTGAACATACACTCTATAATTTTGATGGTTCAAATTTTTTCAACTGTATGAAGAACATAATATTTAATCTGTGAATATATTTTTCACGTACTGCTGAAGTAATTTATTTGGGCTTGTTTCTACTATTCTATACGCACAGTTTCCGTAAAGTTAGTGTTGGCCAGTGTTTCTCTGATATGCACTAAAATCAAGGCGTTCTTTAATCATGCGTGACACAGTTCTTGATGGCGGGATTTTAATTTATTGAGCCATGATTAATAAAATAGGCAAGGACAAAACTTATTGCATGACTATAGGTATACTAGATTCTGAGTTCTAACTAAAAACCGTGTGGTAGTATATTATTTTCTAATGTTGGACCAGTACCAAAATTACAAGACGTAAACGAATATGAATTTGGTAGCAAAAACATTAATTTTTCTACTGGTTGTTGGAATACTGAGTTATACCTGCTTTTTCTAGATGAACGAATCAAGTTTATTGTATAATTATTAATTTTCTTTTCCCAGTAATAATGATTTGTATCATCGCTACGTGGCTAAATACAGCGTGTAATACAATATGTGTTTATTCAAAGAGTGATAAATTAAAATATTTTCAGCCGAGATGAAAATCGCGAGTTCTAAATTATTATGTGTGGTGTATACATTATTATTAATTATATGGGGAAGGAAAAAATAATCATTGAAAAGCGTTTTAGCCGTGACAGCTGTCAACGTATTTTCGTCGGACAGCCCGCGGCGGCGGCGGCATACTCTTATATAGCTTTAATATAATAATATAACACTAATATACTATACGTCGGAATGATTGTTAATTTCTTTCGTTTCGGCCCCATACGGACGACATAAAGACGCGAATGAATGCACCTCAGCCGCCGCCGCCGCCGTCTGGAGAGGCGGGTATTACCCTCTCGGGTTCGTGGTGCACCATTATTATTATAATAATAATAATATTATAACTACAGCAACGTCTGTACATTGGCCGCCGTGTGCTGCAGGTTTAAATGTCACTTGTGAAAGGTGACCGTCCTAAAAGGACTTGAACGGGTAAACTGGTATGCGCCAATTAGCATGCATTCTCCGCGACKGTGCGACGTGGAACGAAAAATGTGTTGTACAAAATATGTGTGTCTGTTTATTTAATGATAAATTATAGGCATATAATATTATTATTGAAGTACTCTGACACGCGCGCTAGTGTCAGTAACGCGTCGGTCGGATCAAAACGAAAACTTTGGATCGACGGGATATACGCGTAATGGCTGTATTTATTAAACGATGTTTTTTATCATATTTTATTATCTTACGTGCCCATAATATATTATATTGTTCAATACGCATGCATGCTGGATGGGTTGGCATTTCAGAGTAAAGTATTCTACAAATAGGTTTCGATGTCATTTTTCAAAAAAAAANACCTGAACATACCAACCCTAAACGACTTAGCCAAATCCTATTACTCAAAATTCCACTCAACGCTCCGCACTCATTCAAACCCTATAATTAAAAGTTTATCCTCTACCTCAATCATTCCTAGAAGGTTAAAAAGGCAATGCTGGCCAAGAGATCTGCTCAATACCTAATTAAAAAAAAAAAAAAAAAATCAGTATCAGTAGTAAGATCAGTAGTTGGATTATAGAATGATAAGCTAAACAGTATATTAGGTTAATAAACAAAAGATTATAGACAACTTTATCTCCCCTTACCCGTTATTATGTCCATCCGTCCGTGGTGTTAGATTCCAGTAGATAGGTACATATTATAGTTACGACTATCAGTATTAATTTTCCATTTCAATGTTGGTGTTTATAATTCAAAAATCATAAAAACGAACTTTATTTAACTACCAAGAAATGTTATTAATAAAAATGTTTCAGTACTTCAGTTGAATAAATAAATAATTTTATAACGGTTCTCTTTAAAGTAAACTATTACAGCAAATATTAAAAAGCATCAAAATATCAGTAATAATTGATTCATACTATAACCAATATTAAAAAATACGTACCAAAATATTGAGGTTGTAAACTTAATTATTTTTAAATTGTACATGGAATTGTAGTTAATTGTGTAGTATTAAAATACGAGAATCCGGAATTTAAAACGGCCATAGAGTGCGAGCTTTCCTAAGTTGTTATTTTGTATACGCAAGTTTCAATTTTTCGTTTTTTGGTTTTTGTTTCTGCGTGAACACGTCTCACGGAGAAAAACATTACACGTTACGAGATAATATTATTACATTTTATATATTACAATTATAACGCACTGTACCTATAAG